GTGGAGTGACACAAGCACCCCTGCAGCCAACACCACTATGACTGTGCTGGATCAACCCTGAAGCCAGCACAATGCTGGGTTTTGCCCAAGGCCTACTGTAACCACTACCTGGCTACTGCCTATGTTCACACAAGGCCCTGGGGCTTTACAGTCAGTAGGTGGTGAGGCCAGCCAGGCCTATGTCTTTTCCTTCAGGGTGGTGAGTTACCCATGTCCCCATGAGGGTCCAGAGTGCTATCAGGGAGCCAGGGACTAGAGTCAAAAACCTTAAAAGTCTACCTGGTTTTCTGTTGTGCTGCTGCAGCACTGGAACTCAAACTGCAAGTTGTGTTCCTTCCCACTCTTTCCACCCCTTTCCAAAAGCAGAGGAGCCTTACTCCATGGCCACTGCCACCACAGGTTTACATGAAGTACTGTGAGACTACCACCAATGTCCCCTTAAGGACCAAGTGATCTTGAGTCAGCTTGTAGTGAATGTTGCCTGGCCTGGGAGTCACCCTTCAGGGCAGTGGGTTCCCCTCTGATGCAGGGCAGATCCAAAAATGCCATCCAAAGGCCAAGTTCTGGAATCAGGGACTCCAAGAGTCCACTTGGTGCTCTACGCTTCAGTGGCAAAGCTGGTACCTGTAGCTAGCAAGTCTCAGAGCCTCACTCAAGGCCCTCAACATAGTACCTAGGTATCTCTGCTGGTTGTTCAGGGCCCAATGGCTCTTCAGTTAGCAGATGATGAATGCTACCAGGACTGGGTTCTTACCTTCAAAGCAGCAGGTTCCCTTCTGGCCCAGAGGATGTCTGGAAATGTCATCCTGGAACTAGGGCCTGGAAAGTGGGAGTCATTACTCTTACTGCTGCCCTATCCTGCTGTTGCTGAGCTGTTATCCAAGCTGCAAGACAGTGTCCTCCCTACTCTTCCATCTCCTCAAGTGGAAGGAAAGGGTCTCTGTTGGAGCCATGAGCTGTGCAGCCTGGGGTTAGTAGAGGGATGATGCCAGCACTCACTTAGCTGCCCAGGCTGCTGTGTCAGTAGGTCACGTGTCCCCCTAGACTACTGTCTCTGCTCCCAGTTCAGCACTAGGACTAATAAAAGTTGCAATACTTTTGGCCTAAACTGCCTTTCAAGGGCCCCAAGGCATTTTAGCCTGCATTGGAGATTCCCCTCTGGTGAAGGCTAATTTAAATACTCCCTGTGTTAGGGTGGCAGGGAGCATCAGCTGCGTTTGGTCTGGTTTTCCTTTCTGACAGGACAGCACTGAGTTCAATGACTCACAATTGCTGCACTCTCCTTCTGCCAGCACACAGAAACACTCACTGCCAGGGGTTGGGGAAAGGGTGACGTGACAATTCAAAACTGTTTTTTTCTGCCTCTTCAGGGCCTCTTTCAGTGATATAAAGTTAAAACCAGGTCCTGTGAGTACTCACCTAATTTTGGTTCTTATCACAGTGTTTTCCTTGTATAGATAGTTGTTAAATTGGTCTCCTTGCAAGGGGTGGGGACAATAGGTAGAACCTTCTATTCTGTTATCTTGTTCTGCCTCCTTCTACATAACACTGATTCAAATATTTCTTCCTTTCCTCTCTCTTTCTTTCTTTCCTTTTACCTGTTTTTTGTTTTTGTTTTTGTTTTTGTTTTTTGAGACAGAGTTTTTCTCTTGTTGCCCACGCTGGAGTGCAATGGCATAATCTCAGCATCTCGGCTCACTGCAACCTCCACCTCCTGGGTTCAAGTGATTCTCCTGCCTCAGCCTCCTGAGTAGCTGGGATTACAGACACTCACTACCACGTCTGGCTAATTTTTGGTATTTTTAGTAGAGATGGGGATTTGCCATGTTGGCCAGGCTGATCTCGAATGCCTGACCTCAGGTGCTCTGCGCACCTTGGCCTCCCAAAGTGCTGGGATTACAGGCGTGAGCCACCATGCCCAGCCTCCTATTTCTTCTTTAATCTATAACACCACCCTCCCTCTTTCCTTTGCTATTCCTTTGGTGAGAGACTGGTTTATAATTTGTCCTGTAGAATTATTCATTTTTTACATTTTACTGTATCCATCCCAATGCAAAGCCTATTCCTTTATAAGCAAAATATCTTGTAGTTAGATCTATGGATGTGGTTAGATTCAGGTACAATTTTTTTTGGCAGGAACATTCATAGTTGATGCTTTGTACTCTGATTGCATGATATCAGCATTCACATAATATGTTTCTCATACGTTTGATGTAAAAGATCATATCAGTGAGTTGTAGCATTCTCACCTTGATTTACCCATGATATAAAATTTCCCACAAATCTTGTACCTAAATTTTATTAAATCTATGTGTTGGTTTACTTTTTATTATTGACATATTCACATACCATGTAACTCACCATTTAAAAGTATACAAGTCATTGCTTTTTAGTATATTCACAAAATTATGTATACATTACCACAACAAATTTTCGAGAATTTTTCTAAACTGAAAGCTCCATTTCTATTAGCAGTCATTTATTCTGCCTTCCCCAGCCCCTGGCAACTACTAATCCACTTTGTCTCTGTATAGATTTGCCTGTTCTGGCCATTTCATATAAATGGAATCATGCAATATGCATTCTTGTCTGGTTTCTTTAATGTATTATAATATTTTCAAAGTTAAATCCATGTAGTATCATGTATCTGTGCTTCATTCCCTGTTATGGCTAAATAATAATCCATGGTATGGATATAGCACATTTGTTTAAACATTCACTGGTTCATAGGCATTTGAGTTGTTTCTCCTTTTGGGTTTTATGAATTATGCTGCCACAAATATTCATGCATAACTTTTGTTTAAATACCTATTTTCAGTTATCTTGGGTATATACTTAAGAGTGGAATTCCTGGATCACGTGGTAATTACATGTTTAACTTTTTGTGGAAGTGCCAAACTCCTTTCCATAATGTCTACATCATTTTACTTTCCCACCAGCAATGTATGACAGTTTCAATTTCTCTACATCTTCATAACACTTATTTTCAATTTTGTTTTTATTCCAGCCATTCTAGTAAGTGTGAAGTGTATCTATCTCCTCGTGATTTTGCTTTGTATTTGCCTAAATGAATGATATTGAGCATCCTTTATGGAGCTGCTTGCCCATTTGCATGAAGAGAGCAAAGGATTTGCAGCCTAGCATGTTTAGATTCATCCTGTGACACGCCGGTTCACCTTGGCAAAGCTTTAGCCTCTGTGGACCTTGGTTTCCTGGCACAATGAATGCTTACTGAATCTGTGTCGGTTCAGATAATGTAGGCAGAAAAAAGGCTATGACTTGATTCTGTGTCCGGCAATGGCCATTCCTACATTAAATAAAGGAGGAGAAAAACAGGGAGGCATCCAGAGAGGTACAGCTGAGATTCATAGCCCAGTTCTTTTTCAGCTAATTCCACCTGGGAAAGAGAGGGAAGCTCTTTTCACTTTCCATTTTCTACAACGTGGAATTGTGACAGAGTCTTAACCCCTCCCTCAACTGTCTCCTAAACAGGTGAAGGCACTGTCTGACCAGAACAAAGTATCACCTGTGCCCATTTATTCTCCTCCCCCTACCTTCTGGTAATTCCCACCCACATCTGCCCAAACAGCAGGGGAATGAGTAAGAGAAAAGGTTTGGGAGTATCTGGCCAGCAGGTGGTCTTGGGGTGGGGTGGGGTGGGGATGGGGGACTGAGAGAGTGAAGGTCAGTTGGTGAGGAACGAAATGGAGGCAGAAAATTCTGAGGAGTTGGAGGCGGTAAAAGTCCAGTTGCACTCTCCTCAGGTTGGTGCAGAGGCCTTGGATTTCTTTTTAAAGTGTTTCTTTTAAGGTGGGTATAGTGGTGAGTGGACCTGGGCAGCGGTGACTTCAGTTCTCACTTGAAACACTTGTTTATTTGCAGGGAAAATAATTCCTTAAGAGTTTTCTTCAGAAATTTTTTTTTTTTTTTTGAAGTCCATCAGGTCCTAAACCATTGAGTTTGTGAAACAAAAAAAAAAAAAAAGTAAAAATCCATCAAAGACTATATTATGAATAGAAATTAAATGGGTCCACAAAAATATCTTCACAATCAATAGGTTGGCAACTGAATAGCCTGCATGCTTGCTTCCCATGGGTCTTGGGAGCTCACCAGACTATTATTTTAAAAGGATCTTTATTTGCATCCCTCCCTCCCACTTAAGAAATCAGGTGCTAGAAGGATGTACGCCCCACAAACAGTCCTCTTCTCTGAGTGGTGTCATCACGGGTTATCCTCGTTTTTCTTTATACACTACAGGTGTCTTCATTCTGCGACTATTATTTTGCAAGAGAAAAGTGTTCCTTTTTATTCAAAAGGAGGAAGGTATCAGGGCACTGGTCAGACACGGGAAAGCTTCGAGTCGCTGTCACTCTTTCAGAGGTAGCATTTCATCACCCACCTAGGCAGTGTGTGCGCCAACCAGCAGCATCCCCTGGAAGGCCGCAGAAGCAGCACTGGGCCCCCTAACAGTTCCAGACAAAAATCAGGGGGTGATAGGGCACCGGCAGTGTCTGGTCTTGGGAACCAGACATTTCACTCCCCACCAGCTGACCCTCATACTCTCAGCCCCACGCCCCCACCCCAAGACCACCTGCTGTCCAGATACTCCCAGACCTTTTCTCTTACTCATTCCCTCTCACCTGGGGAGGGAGCAATTGAGGCTTTTAATAACCTCAGGCAAAATAATGATACAAACTGACCGTTTGAAAATATACATATTTAAATTTCTTTTACATCTAAATGTTTTGCGAATATTGAACTAGAGATATTCCATTTTATTGTTCTGTCTCAAACATCGTTTGCCCTCTAGCAACAAGGACCTTACTCTAAGGGAAAGAAATAGATTCTACCGAGCAATTGGCCAAGATGAAAGATTTCCCATCTGACTTTCCCAAGCCCACCTCTCCCGACCTATCAAGTACCTGGTACTGGCGTAAGACGTCCCACTCCTCCCCTGGGCGGAGCCGACACCACACAACCCGGATTCCCAACACCTCCTCTTCCTCTGACCTTCAGCTCCCACCCGCTCCGAGGAAGAGGAGACACACAAGATGGAGGGAGGAATGGCATCCTACCCTGTTGCAACGCCGAAGTCGCGCTGCCGCAGGGGGCGCATTGGGGTCCAGCCGTCCCCACCGTCCCCACAGCGCAGATCACAGGTAGTCGGACCTTTCCCGCTGGCGCGCGGCCTCAGCCAGGTAGGTCTCCTTCCTTCGTCTTTCCTTTCTTTGCCTTTCCTTTCCCTGACGCTGGGGGAAGTAGGGCCGGGGTCTGTGCCGCAGGCGACCTTTCTGGTGCAGAGGACCTTCCCCACCCTCCATCGTGTGAGCAGCCAGAGCCGGGCGCTCGACCTTGAGCAATGGTGGCTGCCTCACCACGGGCTCGGGCGTTCGGCTGATACCTGGGAGTTCCAGAGGGCCGAGTCGGGGGCCGCGTGGGCGGGTCGGGGTCTTGCGTTTTGGAGCACTGGGTTTTTACCTCTGCCTGAGTTTTTAGTTCTAGCAAGTGTAGGAAGAGCCTCCTAGCAGAGTCCCTCTAGCCTTCCTCGTAGGTTAGCCTGGAAGCTTTTCTGTGGGGCCAAAGGCCGGGGCGAACAGGAGGAGAAGGGTGCTCCCACGGATTCCTTCGCCCCACTAAGGTGCTCCCCACCTACGAGGCTGGAGGAGGGTACTCGTGCTGTGTCGGTTTGGACTGAGTGATGGTTAAACTGCGTGGCCGCCGTGCGTGCTGACAAGTGCTGGGCTTCCCTGAATGTACCCCTAAAGAGGGGACATTTCCTCTGATGAAATTTTGATCTAAAAGCAATACAGCTCCATTTTCACCTACGCATTTAAAGACATGGAAAGACAACTCCCAGATTTTCAGGGACTCCCTCACATTTTCATATTTTTTCAGTTCTGTGAAATGGGAGGATCTGAAACGGCCATGATTATTAAGAAAAAGAAAGAATGAAGCTTCTTAAAGTATCAAAAATTACAAAAAATAGTGGTAATAATGCAAAATATAATCTCAACAAATTATACGTAGACAAAAAAAGTTCAAAAGGAAAGAAGACACAGTTGTGACAGTTATACTGGTTATTTTTAGGTGAAGATGTTAAGAGTGTTTGTGTGTTCGCTCTTGTGCTTTGTGTTTCTTGTTACTGATACTAAGGCAAAAGTTTGGCCTTATTTCCAAGATTAGAAAAACTGAACAAAGGTCTATGGAGATTTGATTGCATAAGAGGCCGTTTCACATAAGGGACTGCACTGTGTTTTAAGTGGGATTATAACCATTTTAACAGTAAAGAAAACAAAGCAATTGCCACCAGAACATGTGGTTTTTACATTCCTTGTGAGATGGCATTTGGCTATCTGCATGTGTAGGACAAATTCTAGCAAGAAAATAGTGTGATGACTTGAGAACACTTGATAGAAGCCAGAACCAAGATGGGTCAGGAAATGGTAGGTAATACGGGTTCCTCAGAGGGGGACAGGTCATGGTTGGATATTGATAATATGTGAAAAAATATACAACAGTGTAGTTTTTGTTTTTATTTCCTTTATGAGTCGCTAAAATATATTTTTGTATACTTTAAGATCCTTATTTTTTTTTCTTCTGTGGACTCTTAATGTCTATTTCTGTTGGGGTAAGGGGAATTGAACATGCACTGTTACACATTCTGAGACCTGGCTCTACAGAAAAGGATGTTCAGGGGACCATTGGCATTCAGTGAGGCATGCATGTGGGTGCGCACGCGCACCCACACACAGTAGAAATACAGTGCTAGAGACACACATACAAACACACAGTAGAAGCACAATGCTAGAGCCAGACACACACACACACAGTAGAAACACGGTGTTAGAGCCAAACACACAGATGGAACACAATTCTAGAGCCAGAGACAGGCAGACAGACAGACACACGGAACACAATGCTAGAGCCAGACACACACACGGTAGAAACACAGCGCTAGAGCCACACACACATACACACACACACACGGAACACAATGCTAGAGTCAGAGCTGCCAGGTTGTGGTCACTGACTGAAGGCAGACACCAGGCTGTCTAGTGGGGTCCTTGCAAGAGCTCGAGTCTCCCATTTTCTACACTGATGGGAGATGTAGGAACTGTGAACTGTGGCAGTTCAGCTGCACAACACATCAGCATCTGGAAAACCTCATGCAAGCGGTCTTTGGCCCTGGCTGAGCCATGACTCTGTGTGCCTGGATTCCTGATTTATGCAGCTCAGGACTAGGCAGAGTGCAGGGATTTTTTCTTGGCCACCGGGATGATAGGCACATTCAATCAAAAGTGTCTGGGAGGTATCCCAGGCTGTTGGTTGTTTTGTGTCTCCATTTTCATTGATTTCAATTTTTTAAGTGTTTATTGGCAACAGACTATTTTAAAAATGTTTTCCGTGAGTTATTGGGGTACAGGTAGTATTTGGTTACATGGTAAGTTATTTAGTGGTGATTTGTGAGATTTTGGTACACCCATCGCCCAAGCAGTATATACTGCACCATATTTGTAGTCTTTTATTCCTCGCCCCACTCCCACTCTTCTGCACAAGTCCCCAAAGTCCACTATATCATTCTTATGCTTTTGTGTCCTCATAGCTTAGCACCCACATATCAGTGAAAACATGATGTTTGGTTTTCCATTCCTGAGTTACATCACTTAGAATAATAGTCTCCAATCTCATCCAGGTTACTGCAATTGCTGTTAATTCATTCCTTCTTATGGCTGCATAGTATTCCATCAAATATAACACAGTTTCTTTATCCACCTGTTGATTGATGGGCATTTAGGTTGGTTCCACGAATTTGCAATTGTGAATTGTGCTGCTATAAACATGTGTGTGCAAGTATCATTTTCAAATAATGAGTTCTTTTCCTCTGGGTAGATACAAGTATCATTTTCAAATAATGAGTTCTTTTCCTCTGGATCAAATGGTAATTCTATTTTTAGTTCTTTAAGAAATCTCCATACTGTTTTCCATAGTGGCTGTACTAGTTTACATTCTCACAAGCAGTGTAGAAATGTTCATTGTTCACCGCATCCATGCCAACATCTACTGTTTTTTTATTATGGCCATTCTTGCAGGAGTAAGTTGGTATTGCATTGTGATTTCGATTTGCATTTCCCTGAGCATTAGTGATGTTGAACATTTTTTCATATGTTTGGCCATTTGTATATCTCTTTTTTTTTTTTTTTTTTTTTTTTTTTTTTTTTTTTTTTTTTTTTTTTTTGACATTTTTCATATGTTTGGCCATTTGTATATCTCTTAAGAATTGTCTATTCATGTCCTTAGCCGACTTTTTGATGGGATTGTTTTTTTCTTGCTGATTTGAGTTCATTGTAGTTTCTGGATATTAGTCCTTTGTCAGATGTATAGATTGTGAAGATTTTCTCTCACTCTGTGGGTTTTGTGTATAGGCTGCTGGCTGTTCCTTTTGCTGTGCAAAAGCTCTTTAGTTTAATTAGGTCCCAGCTATTTGTCTTTGTTTTTGTTGCATTTGCTTTTGGGTTCTTGGTCATGAAATCCTTGCTTAAGCCAATGTCTAGAAGGGATTTTCCAATGTTATCTTCTAGAATTTTTATAGTTTCGGTCGTAGGTTTAAGTTCTTAATCCATCTTGAGTTGATTTTTGTATAAGGTGAGAGATGAGGATCCAGTTTCATTCCCCTACATGTGGCTAGCCAATTATCCCAGCACCATTTGTTGAAAAGTGTGTCCTTTCCCACTTTGTTTTTATTTGCTTTGTCGAAGATCAGTTGGCTGTAAGTATTCTGGTTTATTTCTGGGTTCTCTATTCTGTTCCATTGGTCTATGTGCCTATTTTTATACCAGTATCACGCTGTTTTGGTGACTATGTTCTCATAGTATAGTTTGAAATCAGGTAGTGTGATAACTCTAGATTTGTTCTTTTTGCTTAGTCTTGCTTTGGCTATGTGGGCTCTTTTTTTGGTTCCATGTGCATTTTAGGATTGTTTTTTCTAGAGTATTCCAGAGGTTTTGATAGATTGGGTCATTATTGTCATTTAATTCAAAGAATTTTTAAATTTCCATCTTGATTTCATTTTTGACCCAATGCTTATTCAGGAGCAGGTTATGTAATTTCCATGTAATTGGATGGTTTTGAAGGTTTATTTTGGAGTTGATTTCCAGTTTTATTCCACTGTGATCTGAGAGAGTGCTTGATATAATCTCAATTTTTAAAGTTTATTGAGGCTTGTTTTAAGGCCTATCATATGGCCTATCTTGGAGAAAGTTCCACGTGCTGTTGAATAAAATGTGTATTCTGTGGTTGTTGGAGAAAATGTTCTGTATGTAGCTGTTAAGTCCATTTGTTTCAAGGTATAGCTTAAATCCATTGTTTCTTTGTTGACTTTCTGTTTTGATGACCTGTCTAGTGCTGTCAATGAAGTATTGATGTCCTCCACTATTATTGTGTTGCTGTCTATCTCATTTCTTAGATCTATTAGTAATTGTTGTATAAATTTGGGAGCTCCAGTGTTAGGTGCATATATGTTTAGGATTGTGATATTTTCCTGTTCGACAAGGCCTTTTACCATTATATGCTGTCCCTCTTTGTCTCTTTTAACCGCTGTTGCTTTAAAGTTTGTTTTGCCTGATATAAGAATAGCTACCCTAGGTGGCTCAAGCCTGTAATCCCAGCACTTTGGGAGGCTGAGATGGGCGGATCACGAGGTCAGGAGATCAAGACCATCCTGGCTAACCCGGTGAAACCCCATCTCTACTAAAAAATGCAAAAAACTAGCCGGGCGAGGTGGCGGGCGCCTGTAGTCCCAGCTACTCGGGAGGCTGAGGCAGGAGAATGGCTAAACCCGGGAGGCGGAGCTTGCAGTGAGCTGAGATCCGGCCACTGCATTCCAGCCTGGGCAACAGAGAGAGACTCCGTCTCAAAAAAAAAAAAAAAAAAAAAAAAAAAAAAGAATAGCTACCCTTGCTCACTTTTGGTGTCCATTTGCATGAAATGCCTTTTTCCACCACTTTAAGTTTATGTGAGTCCTTATATGTTAGGTGGGTCTCCTGAAGGCAGCAGATGGTTGGTGAGTTCTTTCCGTTCTGCAGTTCTGTATCTTTTAAGTGGAGCATTTAGGCCATTTGCATTCAATGTTAGTATTGAAATGTGAGGTACCATTACTTTTATTGTGCTTTTTGCTGTCTGTGTACTTGGTGTTTTGTGT